TTTTATAGAAAAAGGATGACAAACGAGCACACAGTCCACCTGATGGTAAGTGGATTATGTGGCCCATAGGCATCTACATTTATCGTCGATTACGCAGTTGCATTGTCACCCGTGAAGACTAAGATGGAATGCATCGTTTCCAGTAAAAAGGGTCTCCGGTTCTCTACACTCACCATGCGAAACATAGCAACGTTAAGCTTCGGATAAGAAATGTAACCTTAAAACTAAAAGTATGAAGTACTATAGGCAAAAAGGGCACCCTACGACCTTAACGAAATCCATAGTGTCTTATTTTAAGTTTACACATAAACATGTTTAAAACTTTTTGATCAGTTTATTGATGGTATTTACACACAAAGAAGACAACGGCGGGTACTAGAAGCTGCGGGGAAGCGGGTGTGGCATAGGCCGTGCGCCCGCGTCTGTCTCTACTTCGATCTCAAGCACAATCGCAAAAGCTCACCTAAAATAATTAATTATCTAGTTGTAACTACTCAGCGAATTAACCTATTTGATGATTATACAGGTTCTATTTCTAGGATCTAACAGGAGCATAGGTTTTGCCTCTTTTCATGTTTCTATGTTTAACAGCTCTGTGAAACTTTTAAGAGTTTGGCAAGAGAAGCGACACAACGATTTATGTCTCTGAGAACTAAGTAACTTTAATGTAAAGCGCTAAGTGCGTAGACAAATTCCAACCTTCCAGCATTGTGTAGTCATGGTTGAAATTCATTTTAATCGACGGAGCTATAATAACCACGATATCTATATTTGTTTCCTAAAGTTTAGATAAAAGTAGAGATTAAAAGTAGAGATAGCGATATGTATGTACTATTGTACATAATACATCTTAACCCGAAAAAAATTACGTTGTCCCGTGTCGGAATTTGAACCCTGCACCACACAGCCGTATCATTATTATGTTAATACTTTAATATTGAAAAACGTATATTTTTTAGTATTTTATTCTAAAAAAAAGTTGAATGAAATATCATTCTAAAGTGGTTTTATACGCGGTATAGACGCTGTCGCTATACTCGTATCATGGTTGCAGCGCGAATGAATCGGCTCTACCGGGTTGGGACCACGCTCTCACAGAACATCGGCGCAAAATATATACTCTATGCTGCTGTATTTCGAATGGGGAATGTTGAGAACTGAATACCCTTTTTACTGGAAACGAGGCATTCCATGGGTATCTCAGGGGTAATTTGATTCGTAATCGAGGTTAACAGTAGACTGTGTGTCTGTGGGCCACAGTATCCACGTACCATCAAGTCGACTATGTGCTCATTTGTCATCTATATATATATATATATATATATATATATATATATATATATATATATATATATATAAAGTTGTGCCATATATATGAAAAACTTCATGTCTGTATGTTCCCGTTAAAGCAGGTATATTAAGCAAACATGCGCATATGATTTTTCCATACAAAACTCTTAAACCATTTAAGTGGTCAAATTGCGACCTGACGCGACACTAGCACTTATGAATAGTTATTATTTCATTTGATTTTTTTACTTCTGCCTGTATGGAGCTGAAAGGAATTGCTATCTTATAGAGGGGTATTGTAGAGGCTATACACCTTTGATATACGAATAGATAGGTTAAAAGGGATGCCGACTTCAAAAGAGGGTTCTGATTTAGGGCACATCTGGTTTTGACATTTAGAAATTAGGTTGAAATTATTATGTCAGTATATGAATGTCGTTTAAAACTCACCTGTACCTCACCTGTGTGTCACTTCGTTGTATACCAGCTTTTTCTATGTATGTAAATAAGTACGCCATATCATCCCGTGGGTGTCGCTAGAGGCGACAGAAAGAAACAAAAATGTAATGTAATGGTGGGGATGATCTGGAACATGTTCACAGATTGCAGACTTCCCGGAGCGCCGGTGCTTCACGTCAGCTATAATTATTATTATTATTATATTATATTTATATATGTTATGTATGTATGTATATAATTTTCTCACCTGGTTGGGTTCTATAAATATATAATTATAAATTAAAATGAAAAGATAAATGTACATAAATATCAATAAAATAAAATAAATACAAAAACTACATAAATAAATAAGATCCAACCAGATGGGAGCCCTCGGCAGGGGAGACCAGACGGCCGAGGGTTAGGGGGAAAGGGAAAGAAACCGACGGACGATGCGGGCGGTATCGAGGAGCACCGCCTTCTGCATTTGAGCCCGGAGCGGTCCGTCACGGAGTCCCAGTCGCCTCAGATGACCCGAGAGGCTGACTGGGATTAGCCCATTCGCAGAGACGACTACAGGAATAATTTTGGTCGACACACAACCCCACATGTCGGTCACCTCGTGAGCCAGGTCCAAATATTTTGTTTGTTTATCTGTTTCGACTTTCACGAGGTTCTCGTCATACGGAATGGTAATGTCGATCAAAAATATACTTGACTGTGCCCGGTCCATCAGCACAATATCAGGCTTATTCGCAAGAATAGTCCTGTCTGTGATGATGGCCCGGTCCCAGTAGAGCCTGGCGCGGTCATTTTCGAGCACGGCTTCCGGCAAGTACTTGTAATACGGCGATTTCCGGTCCACGAGACCGTATTTCAGAGCGAGCTCCTGGTGTAGAATTCTGGCTACTAGGTTGTGCCTGTGCAAGTACTCAGAGTTAGAAAGCGCCGAACAACCGGAGATGACATGCCTAAGTGACTCCCCGGGATGGCGACAAGCTCGACAGACGTCGACAGTGCCATCCTTTAGGATGTATCTCCGGTAGTTGTTGGTCTTAATAACCTGATCCTGTATTGCACAGACAAAACCCTCGGTTTCCCCGAAGAGGTCACCGAAACGTACCCAGTTGAGGGAGGCGGCTGTATCTACGTGAGGCTCATGTAGAGCCCTGTAGTACCTGCCATGGAGCTCCTTCTCCTTCCATACGGTCTCCCGGTCGGAAATGCTCTGTACTGCCGGGTCTTGCCATTGCTCGTTGGCTAAGGATAGAGGGGTAAGTCCTTTATCACTAGAAATGACGTCATTATAGAATGGATCATCCGATCTCGCCAGGAAGTAATGACGGAGACTGCACACTTCGCGATTATGCATGGTGAGCGCGCTCAAGAAGCCACGACCACCATGCTTCCGCGGCAAGTACAGCCTCATTACCGACGATCTCGGATGATGCATCCTATGGGACGTCATTGTAGTGCGGACTTTTCTATCCAGGGCGTTAAGTTCAGTCAGACTCCACCTGAGTATGCCAAAGGTATACATGAGGACAGGCATGACCCAACCGTTATATGCATGTGTCTTATTCACACCGGACAAAAGGCTGTTAAGCACTTTGGTCAAGCGTGCATAAAACACGTCGCAAACTGACTGTTTCATACCAGCCTCATCGATACCGATGTTCTGTGACATACCCAGGTATCGGTATGTTTCAGCCTCGGAAATGGTCCTTGAGTTGACGGGCATAGATAAGTCTATGCCCTCAGAGTTAGCAACCCTTCCCCTTTCAACATGGAGGACCGCACACTTATCCGTCCCCAGCTCCATTCCAATAGAATTGCTAAATTCACAAGTGATGTTTAGCAATTCCATAAGATGGGAGCGACTGGAGGCGAATAATTTGAGGTCATCCATATAGAAAAGGTGGGTCACTTTTGTACCTCCTTTCGAAAGCTGAAATCCCCTCCCGGAACCCTTCAGTAAAGTACTGAGAGGGTCCAAAGAGAGGCAGAACCAGATTGGACTCAGACAGTCGCCCTGGAATATACCCCTTCTTATCCTTATGCGGCTTTCCGCAGCCGTCATCCGCTCGCCCAGATGACAGAGGATCGTACTCCACTGCCCCATACACTGCTCGAGGAAGTCTCGAACTGTACAGTCAATCTTGTACAGCTCGAGGACCCTCTTTAGCCATGTATGGGGCACCGAGTCAAATGCCTTTCTATAATCTATCCAAGCGGCGGAGAAGTTCCGACGGTTGCGTTTCACCACTTTGCCAATGACCGCGTCAATGAGGAGTGGTTCCTTGGTTCCACGACCGCCGCCCCGACATCCATTTTGAGTGCGCGACATCATCTGATTTGAGTCCAGGTGAAGAGCGATTCTCGAGCTCAAAATGGATGTTAGTGTCTTGTATATAGTTGGTAGACACGTGATGGGGCGGTATTTGCTCGGGTCTGTGGCCAAATGAGTGATCCCAGTAGTGAAGAGGCTTGGGAGCGACTTCTGGTTGAGAGCCTCTTGAAACTGTCGGGCGAGCACAGCGTGACACACCATGAACCCCTTCAGCCAGTAGTGATGCAGCCCGTCAAGCCCCGGACTTTTCCAGTTCTGGGCCCTACGGACCGCCTCAGCTACATCATCCGGTGTTATGGTGACGGGATCCATGGGCGTAATACCCGCACACTGACTCACCACAACTTCCGTCCAAGGGCCCTGACCACAGGCTGCGCCAGAATGCGACCGTGTCGGCCTGATTTGGTGCTGGGCCCGTTCCACTTACTATTGGTCGCTCCAATGATTTGTAGAACCTCTTCTGATCACTCTGGAAGAGACGATTCTAGTTGAACCGTGTCGACCTCTCGGTATATCACCGAATCCGCTTTCCCCAAGCAGCGATTCTTTGCTTCAGGTCGTCTATGCGCTCCGTCAGTTTTTGCGTTATATCCGGCTGGGACAAACTAACATTTGTCCCAGCTAACGCCATCCTGACGGTGCGCACAATCCTTGGCCTGGATTGTCTGACCTGAAGCATATCAGTCTGCCGATGAGGGCCCTAGCCCTTGCGATACGTTCCTCAATTCTTCTTCTCCATGCTGGGATAGCGCTACTATGGCCAGTAGCGCGTCCAGCCGTGGAAACCTTGGCGCCTATGATACGGCAGACTGCCAACGCGGCGCCAAAAAGAATTGAGTCCGTCTCGCAAAGCTGGCTTCCAAATAGGTCACCAGCATTGGGTTCAGAGCCCTCACGACAGCCCGATTCCGCTTGCTTAGGGCTATGCGGGGAAGTCGCAGTCGATTTTCGAGAGGCATACTGCGCGTTTCCACAATCGTCTCCTCCAATGTATCATTTGCTCTAGTTCCAGTTCCTGGGCGACTGTTCCGTCATCGTTTGAATCAACCACAACTGGCCTATTCACGGTGGCACCCACATTTGCCGTTTGCTCAGCAAGTTGTGGCGCCGCATCCTCAGCCGCAGCATTTTCACCCGATGAAGGAGCAGCCTCACGTCGTAGCCGTTCGAGTTCGGTGACATCAAATGTATTTGAGCGCAAGATATACCGAACTCGGTCTGCCAGGTTTTGCTCGGTGACGGTTACAGATGGCTCCAGCTCAGCAAAAAGTCGATGCATCCTTGCCCGATACGCAAAACCTCCAGTTTCTCCCCCTTTCGCCCTAAAATACGCCCGCAATGCGTTGCTGTGCATCTGGGTTGTGCAACGCATGCGGCGTACTCCACCAGTGGCAGGTGACGGTTGCTGGGCCCGCGAGGACCCTGCTGACACCAAACCAGCTAGTGGGGATGATGGATGCGAGGGGCTGCTGGGTGGTCGTGCAGCACCTCGCGCTCGGCTGGCGGTTCGCATGCTGTCGCGTCCAGCGCCAGCTCCAGACGCGCCCTGGCGACCTCCAAGCAGCGGCCCTTTGCGCGTTCTTCCGTATTCCATCATCCATAGTGGTGGTCGTCATTTAGCGGGAGACGCCCAGACCCGGCGCCGTTTCATGGTGAGGCCATGTGCACAAGCGGGCCTTTGCACCTTCAATTTTTGCCGAGGCACGGCACTAACACCTCTCGGCAAGGTGCTGACTGACTGCGCTGATGCACCGGTTTTGTCACATAACCGTTACGTCAGCGGGCGATGGGGTCGTCACTTCCCTACGCCTGATATTTATGTATGTATGTATTATTATTATTATTATTTATATATGTTTTTACACGCGGGTTTTTGTAGATCTTTTTGTTTGACCCTTGTAAAACAGACCATATTCACAATCTAACTTATACACTCCTGCATATTGTAGAGGAATATTACACTTGATGGATGGTAAAAATTGACTTATCTTCTTCGCCGGTTTGTAGTATGTTTAATGGAAGATATAGCCAACATTGTCTGTGACTCCTCTGACATACGGTAGTACAGCAGGCGCACGCTCAACTATGGCCGGTTTCACTCGGTCACTGTAACTTAGGCGCGTGACCCGAAGCATGTTGTCTTGCAATACTTGCTTGACGTGCTGAAGCTCGGCGGCCAGCTGTTTTCTGTCGCAGATCTCTTGTGCTCTCTGAAATAAAGATTTGGGAGATTCACCATTTAAATATCGGTTTGTATGGGTCTTTTTCCTATACACAGTGTGACCAATAGTGTTACGAGAATTTTTAATGAATAAAACATCTAGGAAAGCTCAAGAATTATTTGCCTCTAACTCCATTGTGAATTTTAGTTGTTAGTTGAGTTGATGGAGTTAAGGTGGTCTAACAATGCAGTTACTTTGTCGGATGGTCAAATTGTGAAAGTATCGCCTACGTACCGCTTGTAGAATCTTGGATTTACAGGAGCAGTAAGAAGGGCTTTCTCCTCAAAGTCCTCTATGAATATGTTGGCGACTATAGGAGTTACAGGTGAGCCCATTGCCACATCATCTACTTGCTTGTAGAGCTCCTATGTATTTCCAAAATAGATAGCCATATGTGAGGCAGTATTTGAGTACAACTGCATATTCTGCAGGCATGTGGTTATCTTCTAGCTTCCTGGTTATAATTGTGATGCAGTCTTCAATAGGCAGGCATGTGATTAGTGACTGAACACCGAAGTTTTCATTAATAATAACCTCCATACCGAACGTCAACCAAGTGTACGCGCAAGCACAGCTACACTCTCTTTGCCCTCACTCTCAAAGTCCGATGGGACTGTAATCCGCACGACTGGATAAAGATTCAGGCGCAGGACCATTGTGTACCATTGTGTTTATATTGAAATGTTGTGTAGGTAGCAAGGGCGGGCGGTGATCTTTACAGTGATTACGTCACTCGAGCGCATAGGGTATCCATGAATTTACGGACGGTGTCGGACAGAAACTTTTTTAATTTTATAAAAGAAAATAGGGTTTTTTTAAAAACAAATCGGATAAATATTTTTATATTAAAGCCTAAAAAAATTATATTTGTAAAATATATAGTATTAGTTTATAGTAACGCTATTTATAGTGCTATACTCCTGTTAACTACTGCAAGTTAACCTAAACTGCTTGTGTTAGGGGTGGTTCACGATAGCAGTTGAATTCGAAGCGGATTCG